GCCGCCAGGGGTGGTTGCACGGGCTCGTTCGCGGCCATTTTGTGGGGATGTCTCAGGCGGTTTGCTTGTTTCTGGGCTCAACATCCTTCGCTTGGAGAGCAGATTGTGACGATGTCTCAAGCGGGGCGCTGGTTGCAGCACCCCTATGGGGAGCCGCCAGGGGTGGTTGCACGGGCACGTTCGCGGCCATATTGTGGGGATGTCTCAGGCGGTTCGCTTGTTTCTGGGCTCAACAGGGAGGGAAATGACAGGAACGAGGATGAGGAGGAGGAACAGGAGGAGGAGGAGGGAGGCGGGGGATCGTGAGGAAGGGCATGGGGGTGCGGAGGGGGAGGGGGAGCAGGAGGATGAGGAGGAGGAGCAGGAGCAGGAGAAGGGAGGGGGCGGAGGAACAGGAGGAGGAGGAGGAGGAGGAGGAGGAGGAGGGCGCTTTGCTCGAAGGTCCTTGACGCGAGCAGAACGTTTGTTCCGAAGTCCAGGACATATATATATACATATATATATGTATGTACGTATGTATTCATAGGGGGTGACTGCGAGGGGGGGGGCTGTGGTTGCGTGCGGGGATCGCTGGAAATGCTCACCGTGGCACTATCCTCCAACATGACATGCACTTATGGCCTTGTGTGGCTAAACGCTCGTCTTACATATCCCACTGCCAACTATCCTACAACATATGCACATGTGGGAAGCTCCAAAGCTACCACGGGCTGAAAAGGGGAAGGCCTGGCAGCTGAGGAGGGGGGATGAAGAGGAAGAGGCTCGCATTCAACCATACTCAAAGCTCACTCTGACTCATACGCAATCACTCGCATTAGGGGTCACTCGTCTTCGTCGGCCCTGTCGCCCACGTGGACGCGCTATTGTAGTCGACCGCTCATGAACAGACGCTCACCACGGCATGACATAAAACATGAGATGCACATATGGGGAGCTCCACGCAGTGAGTAATTTGGCACGCTTCAGGGTCTTCAAATCGTTCTTCCAACGAGGCAGATCTCTGTGGAAGCGGCCCCATTGTAGGGCCTATGGGGAGGGAGCTTGGAGGGAGAGGTATTCCAAAATCGTTGATGAGACTTGGGTTTACACTGGTCTTCCTCCTCCTCCTCCTCCTTCTCCTCCTCCCTTTTGTTTTTTCTCATCATTATCCTAATCCTCACGTGTTGCCCGGCGGGGTTCAACGACGGCTGGGGGAACACATGGTCCGATAGCTTGGTCAAGCTCCAGCCCAACTTTCGGCCACACAATTTTTGATCTGCGGGGCGAAAGCGAACCTCTTCCGCTAAAAGCTAGCTTTCGGCCACACAAACGCTTCCAAAAAGGCAGGGGGCGGCGGCGAAGAGCGTGCAAAGACGGCCCAAGAGCGCTCCCAGACGCCCAAGATGGCCTCAAGACTGTCCAAGAGGGCTCCCAAGGGCCCCCAAGAGGGCCCCAAGAGGAAAGTGCTGAACGTTCTCGCCTTGCCGGGCTTCCGTCGCTCCAGGACGGCCCATGGGGACCCAAAGATCGACCCAAGACGCCCCCACGAAGGCCCCAGAGGACCGAAGACGGCCCAAGATGGCCACAGGGGCCACAAAGGTGGCCCAAGAGGGCCCCCCAAGAGGACCACCCAGGCTCCCCCAAAAGGCTCCAGGAGGCCTCCGACATGCATCCCGAGAGATTCCAGGAAAACTGCAAAAGAAATGTTAGCCAGCGTAAATCCAAAACTGTGCTTTTCCTAGCAACATATGTGATGCTAGACATGTGGAGCAATCGATGTAGGGCAATATATGTGGCGCAGATGTGTTGTGCAACTTGTGTGGAGCTAGATGTGGTGTGCAACATGTGTGGTACAACATTTGTTGAGCAGTGTGGTGCAACATATGTTTGCAATATATGCGGAGCAATGTATGTGGTGAAGTCTATGTGGTGCAGCATGCGTTGTGCAATGTATGTGGTGGAATAAGATGTTGTACAACATGCGTACAATAGATGTTGTGTGATCGATAGTGTGCAATATGTGCTGTGCAAACTGTGGTGCAACATACCTGGTGCAACATATGTGGTGCCATCCATGTTGTAAGCTCAACGTTGTGCAATGTATGTGGTGCAGTCTAGGTGGTGCAATACTATATATAGATGGGTGCAATATATGAGGTGAATGTCTCTGTTGTGCAATGGATGTGGAGTGGTGTATGTGATGTAGTCTAAGTGGTGCAATCCATGTTGTGCAACACATGTGCGCAATATGTATGATACTATATACATATCGTGCAATGTATGTAAAGCAATCCATGTGGTGCAAAGCGCCGAGGCGGCGACGAAGCGGCAACGGGAGGGAGACGGCGACAACCTAGCCGCCAGACTGCGACACCGGCTCAAACGACGGGCGGCGACCAGGCGGCCACGGGGCGGCCACGGCGACAACATAGCCGCAAGACCGCCACACCGGCCCAGTCGACGCGCGGCGACGCGGCGGCCACGGGACGGCGACGGCGACAACATGGCCGCCAGACCGCCACACCAGCCCAGTTCCGTAAAACACTAGTGGGAACTCCTAAGTGCAAGCACTGCCTGGGAAATTTCTCGTCCGCGAACATGGCACGGTGGCGGGTTTGGCCGAAGGCAATTATACGCAATTCATGGGCCAGCTGCTGCTGCTCTCCGTGGCCGGGGCCACGGAGGTCCTCCACCTCCTCGCTGCTGCTGTTCAGGGCTGGACCTAAACAGTGTTTTTCGTTTTCGCTGTGTGTTCGTTTTCCCATGTTGTCTTGAATTCGCCTTTGCTGCAAAACGACATCGAAACGAAAACAGCCCACGAAATCGCCAAAACACCGTTTAAGTCCACCCCTGCAGCTGTTCCTCCTCGTGTCTCCTCCTTCCTCCGACCTCCTCCTCCGGGGGGGGGGGCGGAGGAGCAATCCCCAAATGCGACCTACAGCCTCGACGCCCTGCACCCCTCCTCCTCCTCCTCCTCCTCCTTCTCCTGCTGCGCCTCCTAAGCAGAAGAGGGAAAACCCGATGAAGCCCAACCAAAAGGCTGCTGACCTTACACACAGGACCACAGGGCGCGTGAGTCTGACTGTGCGCGAGTCTGGAGCTGAATGATCTGAGTGCGAGGGGTCTGGATGTATGAGTCTGGGAATGACTAAGTTGAATGAGAATGCAGATGTGCGTAAGTGGTATGAGTGAGTGAGTCTGCGTGTGAGTGAAAATGAGTATGGGTGAGTCTGAGCGCGACGGATCACAGTGTGATCTGGCCGTGTGCATGCGTCTGAGTACGGCTGAGTTGAGTACGAGTGGATATGAATGTGCGAGTCTGAGAGTGCCTGAGTATCAGTGGATATGTGTGCGTGGTCTGAGTGAGGGCAGTCTGAGTGTGAGTGGGTCTGAGCGTGAGTGGTCTAAGGGAGGAAGCGGGAGTAACGAGGTGAGGAGTCGGAGGCATCACACTAGCAGGAAGAACCCCGTGCTTGGGAGATGCGAAGCAAAAAACACCCAATACGCAGGATATGGGGAAATGTCAGTAAGCCTGAGTATGACAGGATATGAATATGAGTAAAACCGAGTCTGCGTATGAATGGGTACGGGTACGAGGGAATATGATCCTGCTTACGTCTGGTGTTGAGTGAGTCTGAGATGACTTAGCATGAAAGAATATGAACGTGTATCAGTCGTAGTATGAGTGAGCCAGAATACAAGTGAGCTGGGCTTAACTGAGAAAGTGTGAGTGGGTCTGAGTGTGAGCAAGCCTTGATGATAGTGGGTTGTGAATGTGGCAGGGAGGAGGCAAGAAAAAAGACAGCGGCACTGTATACCAAACACTTCGTAGTAAAGACATGGGGGCTACAGAAAGCGAAACGGCATCGTGCAGGAAAAACGTCCCCCTTGGAGCAACGAAATGCCCGACGCGCGACCGACTCAGCGACGTCCTCGCGGCGCGCCGACTCAGATATTCTGCATGGGCGAGGTGTCGCGTGGTCAACCTCCCGTGTAGCGGACTGCGAGCAGAATGAGGCTCTCCCCTGGAGCTGCCAGCCCTGGGCCAACCTTGCCCGCCTTCGGCAGCCGCATGCGCGCAGCGTGGGCTATTCCATCCTCATCCTCACCCCCCTGGTCCTCACCCCCCGCGCGTCAACATATCAGCAGCTGCCCAGGCCGACGATGTCAGACTGCAGGCAGGAGAACGCAACAGCAGACAAGGGGACACGGAGACAGAGGATGTCACAAGTCGCTGCATGCTCGATGCAGCGCGACGACTGTGAAGCCAGCCCGCCCCCGGCCATACGAAGAGCGATGATGACGAGGACGGTTGACCAGGGCAGGCCATCGAGGCCACGAGCACGACGGCGATGGTTGCGACAATGGCGACGGGCGACGAGGACAAGAGCAGCAACAAAAAGACACTGCTGAAGGCACGAGGCGGCGAGCATCGATTTCAACACCTGTGCGGCTCACACGTTCTGCCGTCTGAGCCTGAGCGCCCGGGCGATTCCCCTCGATCTTCCTTTGAAGAGGACAGGGAACCGGAGAGGAGGGCGAGGAGGGAAGGAGAAGGGGAAGGAAGATTTGGAGGGGGAAAGGAGGAGGAGGAGGGAGAGGAGGAGGAGGAGAAGAAGAAGAAGAAGAAGGGATAAGAGGAAGGGGAAGAAGGGGGATGAGGAGGAGAAGGGAGAGTGGAGGGAGAGCGATGATCTGGAACCACTGCGGCGCTGGCCGACCTGACCTGGGGTGAGCAGCAATTCACATTTCCTCCCCTTTCCACTCCGCCTCCTCCTCCTCATCATCCTCATCATCATCATCAGCAGCATCATCTTCATCATAATCAGCATCATCAGCATCATCATCATCAGCATAATCGTCATCATCATCATCAGCATCAGCATCAGCATTCTCATCATCATCATCATCATCAGCAGCATCATCAACAGCATCAGCAGCATCATCATCATCATCACCACCACCACCACCATCATCATCATCATCATCATCATCATCATCATCATCATCATCATCATCATCATGGTCGTTCTGCTGCTCTTCGGCCCCACTTCTCCAATATAGTGAACACGTGCACCACGTGCAGCCACCTGGAGCACACACGGAACACCAAGCTACGGCCTGCGCCCATGCGGGTGCCGCATGATGGGGCTCCCTCCCCCAAGAAGATTGACTTGTGCAATCGAGGTGAAACACCGAAAATTGGGCATTACTTCACAGGTATCCCGTTGACCCATCTTGCTCCGAGAGCGAACACGCACGACTGCCCTGGGCTCGTGGTCCACGTGCCCAGCCAGGGGTCGGGTGGGGAGAGCAGACAGCCAGAACAGACCCTCTGGAGGCACAAGGGCAATCAGACCCCGCCTGGGCTGTTTCTTCCTGTTGCCTCTGGGGGGTATGCTTGGTTGTTGGTCTGGCCCCTGCCCCTCAGTGGGACGGGTAGGCCGTGGGCCTAGGGCCTAAACAAGAATATGTGACGAAATCCGCCCTAGTCCATACTCGATCCCGGTAGCTTTGGCGGCGGCGTCACCCGCTGCCTAGTCGATACCGCTCCGGCGCAGCGTCAGACTTCTGGAACTGCTTCGCGGGCGGCGTCTCCCCCACCTCTGCCACGAGCCAAAAGGGGACCCCGGAGCCCTGGGCACAAGGGCTCTCCCCAGAATCGGCGCTTCTCATCCCCGAGTCGTTCTCTGGCGGTTCCCAGGGGCGCGGGAGCAGCCCCCGAGGGTTGGAAGCTGGGCAAGGGCTGGCAAATCCGTGGCTGCGAAAACGGCTTTCCGGGAAGAAAAAAGCAAGTTCCCGGAATCAAGCTCAGCGCACGAAATAAGAAACGTGCTGAAGCAGAAAAGAAGTTCCCGGGGCTCCGTTGCAGCAGCCACGGCTCGATTTTCGCAGTATTTTCGCTTGAACTCTCAAGCTGTGACTACGCAGTATTTTCTGTGCCTGGCTCTGGAACGTGTCGGATGGCTTCTGGATTCGAATCTCGGTGGTTACTGCCAGCCTTCGCCTGGCTTCTGAGAGGGGCCGAAGCCTGCGCGAAAGGCCTGGGACCCTCCTGCATCGGCGCCCACCTCCAGCGCGGCGGCCACCAGGGAGGACGACGCCTCGGACGCGAGGGTGCACTCCGCCTCCGCGACCTGCCCGCTCCCCCCTGCCGCGCGGAACGGGGGAGACAGGCCCTCGCCGCCCGCGGACGACAGCGGGCTGTAGCTCCACGCGCTGCCCCTCTCCGAGTGGCACGAGGGCAGCGCGACGACGCCGAGCCGCGCGCCCCGGTGCTCGGGCGTGAACAGCCGCGTGCTGGGAGACGCCTCGAGAGGGCAAACAACTCGACGGGGAGATCCCCGGGTGTGCATCTCATCTTCGGGCACTTCCCCCTGGCGAGGATCTGAGCTTGAGTGCGTCTGAGCGTGAGCACAACTGCGCGCGCACAAGTCCGAGCGGGAGCGATCCTGGCTGCGACCACTTGCTGCTCTGCGTCGCCGGTGACGCTCGCAACAGCATGAAAGCGGAGGAGTCCCAGCTATGAGACAAGCGCCTCGCTCAAGACATCCCCAGTCTGGCCGCGAACGGGACCGTGCAACGCCCCCTGGCGGCTCCCCTTGGGGTGCTAAGACAACCGCCCCGCTCAAGAGATTCTCACGATCTGCTATGAAAGCAAAGGAACCGCAGCCAAGAAGCGAGCGCCTCGCCCAAAACATCCCCGCAGTCTGGCTGCGAAAGGGCCTATGTAACACCCCCTGGCGGCTCTCTTGGGGTGTTCAAACAACCGCCTGTCTCGAGACATCCACCATCTGCTCTGAAAGCAGAGGAGTCCCAGCTACGAAACAAACAAACTACCAGAGGCATCGCCACAATCTCGCCGCGAACGGACCCGTGCAACACCCCCATGGCGGTCCTCCTCGGGGTTCTAAATCAACCGCCTTGCTCGAGACATTACCACGATCTGCTTATAAATATGTTGCTGTGAAACAAAGGAGTCCCAATCACGAAACGAGCAAAACGCCCGAAGGCATCCCCGCAATCTGACCGCGAACGGGCGACTTGACTGAGTAAATGAATAGATATGAGTGAGAGTGGTCGGTGTATAAGTGAGTCTGAGGGTCTGAGTATGAGTGAGTCTGAGTACGAGTCTGCGCACGAGAGGGATTGAGTGTGACTGTGAGGCTGATTGCGAGTGAGTCTGAGTGTGAGCGAGTCTGAGTGTGGGTGAGTCCGACTGTGGGCGGGAAGGACGGAGGCGGCAAGAAGGAAGGAGCAGTGGAGGTGGAGGCATCACACGAATGACAAGATCCGTACACTTAGGATATGAAGAAAACATGCCGATACCGTTATGGAGGATGACCCTCCCTCGCTCTCCCCTTTGCACCCTCAGGAGGAGGGCAAAGTCGCCACGCTGGAGGCGCTCTGGCCAGCATGCACCACGGCAGGGCGGTTCGGGGCGCAGTGGGTTCGGCATCTTCTTGTGCCCCCCCTGACGCCTGCGAGTGCTGGAAGATACGGCACTCGTCCCGAAGGCGCCCCCGGAGCTCCTCGTCGGACAGGGCGTGCCTGTCAAAGGAGAGGTCGAAGGTCGACTCGGACCTCACCTCGTCGGCCTCGGAGTGGTAGGGCTGCAGGCTCGGGTGCCTCAGCATGTCGAGAGCCGTCGGGCGCCGCCGCGGCCCGAACGCGAGCATGGACTCCACAGTCTGGAGCTCCAGCCCGGGGCTGCCCGGGATCACGTCCGCCCAGCAGGCGGGCCGACCACCGCGCAGGGCGGTTCGCAGCAGCTCCTGCAGGAGCTCCCTGCCGCTGCTGGGGATCCAGTCCAAATCCCCAGCGGGAGGAGGCCCCAGGACCGACAGAATCCGACGAAGCTGGTCCAGGCTGTCCCTGCCGCCGAAGACTGCCCTCCCCGCGGCAAGCTCACCGAGGATGCATCCAGCGGCCCAGATGTCCACGGCGCAGGTGTACCTGCTGCCGAGCAGCAGCTCGGGGGCGCGGTACTCCGAGGCGGCCACGCCGTCCTCCTCCTCCCGGCAACGCGTGAGGCCGAAGTTGCATATCTTGAGGCTGCAGTTCGCGTTCACGAGGATATTGCTCGGCCGCAGCTCTCGATGCACAAGGCCCGCGCTGTGAAGGTATAAGAGGCCCTTCAATATCTGGTGCAGGAGGAGCCGCCGGTGCTCCCACGTGAGCGTCTGCCCAGAGCTTATCACTCGGTGCAGGCTGGATTGCATGGCTGGCGTCACAACGTAAACGTCTTTCAGACTACTTGGCGCATAGGCATCCACCACGGCCAGAAGATTTTCGTGTCGAGCCGATCGTAGAACCTTCACTTCCCGCAAGAGTCTCTGCGCGTCCGCAAGATTTCGCATCGCGTCCTTCACCTTTTTGACCGACACGATGCTCCCAGACTCCGTGTCCAGAAACGTGAGCACCTCGGTGTGAGCGCACATGCTGACCTTTTTCACAGGCTCGAAATGGGCTGGCACGTACCACGCAGACGTGCCACCTAAGAGCAGGCGCTTCGCCGCGAAAGCGTCACCCGGATCCGCCCTGGACGCCGCCATGCAACTGGTGTGCAGCCGCAGCGCTCCTGGCGCCCAAGCGGCGCTACTTACTTCCTGAACTTGACCCACCAAGGCATATGCGAACGCATGCGAACAATGCGCACACACACACACACTCTTGTTTTCGTCGGCGGCTGGGCAGAGGTTACTGATCCGGCGATCGGGCTTCAGTGGGGCGCGCTAAATGCAAATTGGGCCGCAGTGCACGTGAGGAGAGGAGAGGACGCCCAGCGCGACGGGAAGAGAGGAAGCTGGGCCCGCTCAGGCAAGTCCCAGCAGTGGCGGGGCGGGCGCCCGGGGGGGGCCCGCAGCGGCGCCAGGCAGCTGCAGAGGGGAAGGCAGCCCGAAGGCGGCAAAACAGCGTTTAGGTCCAGCCCTGCTCTGTCACGCCACCTAGCCACCAAAACGCATGCGCGTCGCCGCGAAAGAATCGCCCAGCGCCGCCCTCGAACCCCCGATGTGACTCGGGTTCGGCCGCAGCCTGCCCATTACTGTAGGGGCGAGGCCGAAGGGACTCCCAACCGCTCCAAGGACACCTGCCGGCGCAGAGAAGCTCGACTCATGCTGTGGGACGAATGTCTTTGGTGAAGGACGGACAGGCCAAAATTTGACAGAGCAGGGGACTCCCCTTATACGCCACTTGGTCTGGCCACAAACCGAATATAAGAACAAAAAACAAAACATCAGTGTTCACAAGCGGCCAGTTCGGGGGAGCAACGAGGGGGTTCTACACTGTTCCAATGACGCGGCCAGCATGGGCCAGGCACGATCTAAAGACGACGAGCAAAGAGGAGACGCTTGCACACGATCGATCAAAACTAGCAGCATCGGCCATTATCGGAAGAGAACTGCCGAATCGTGGGTATCCTTGAAACCTCCCAATTCCTCCCAATATGTTCCACGTGCTACAACGGACATGCTTCCATCCTTGTAAGCCCAATTCGAGTGTTCATGAGTGGTGCGCTGCGTTTTCTGCATTCACACCTTTACCGTCTGAATGGTCCGAGAGGGGATACTAGGTAGTCATGGTGGCGAAGCGGGTCGACCTCACCACTCGCTTCGTCCCAGATCGGGGCCGCTGGAGGCGAGCTTGCGCCTGAGGGGCGTGTGCGAGGCTTCGGTATCGAGCCCCGCGTCCTCGTGAGACCAGGCTTAGGTCGGGCGTGTCCTCCTACGGGCGGATTTTTGGGGGAAAAAAACTAAAAATACGGGCGGATTCTGGAAACAAATAAAAAAATAGTCGGAAAATACCCAAAAATAATCCAAAATGATCCAGAGAACGTCCCCTTACAATTTTCTACTATTTTTGGATATTCCTCCTGTAGAGGGACACGCTCGACTTCAGACCAGGCGGAATGAACGAGCAGCAGGCGTTTGCCGCTTTCACCCAGACGAGCGATACGCTCAGGCAGCAGCAGGCTGCCACAGCGAGGTTCCAGCAGCGCTCCGACCAGGCCATGGCCAGACAAGCCAGGCAGCTGCAAGAGCAGAGTGCGGCACTGCAGACAGCGGTGCACCAGAACGCGGTGTCTTGGAGGCTGAGAGCGCTTCCAAGAAGGGCGAGGGCATGGTCGACAGTAGAGCAGTGCAGAAGCCAGCAAGCTTCAGTGGGAAGGAGAGCGACTCAAGAGGCTGGGCGTAGAAATTCGACACCTGGCTGGCCTCTCAGTATGAGCACGCCGAGGAGCTGCTGGACTGGGCGACCGCCAAGGGCATGAACACCACCACGCGACCGAGGGCGACCCCGAGTGCGGCCAGGCCAGGGGCCTGCCCAGGGGAGGTCGAGGTGGAAGCCGCGGCGGTGGAGAGCACAAGAGCTTCCCTGGGCCTACCCTTAAGTCGGGCCTGTCCCCCTACAGAGGGATTTTGGGCGAGAAATCAAAAATAGTCAAAAGAATACTCCAAAAATTGTCAAAATAGTCAGAAAATGGTCACCATATTATTTTGTACTATTTTTGGACTTTCCTCCTGTAGAGGGACAGGCCCGAGTTAAGCCTACCCGCATGAGGACGCGCTGGCCGCGGCAGGTGAAAGTGGTTCGCTGTTCGTGGAGGGGATCCCGAGCAGCACGCCAGTGGCTCGTCGACAACAGCGTGCCCGTCGTCTCCCAGGACGTCGAGCATGAGCGCATCGCCTACACCTCCCCATGCGTTCCTCTGCCTGAGAAGGGGACTGGGACGACATCGCCCGCAAGACTTGAGAGCTGCCCCTGGTGCCGAGCACGGCCTCAAGAAGGAGAACACAAGCGACGAGGAAGAAGGAGGAAGGTGAGAAAGGCGACGCCAAGGACAGCGAAGAGGAGGCACACGGGCACACGTCGGGGACGCGGCTACAGAATCGAGCCAGCGACCCGCGGACGGTGCCAAGCAGAGGGCGGTGGCCGCAGCTGCGGCATCGAGCCGGCGGCGCACGAGACCTCGTGAGAACCGCGCAGCATCGGCATCGAGCCGACGTGCGGCTGGCGACGCTGCCCACAAGACCACCGCGAGGAGAGGCAGGAGCAGAGAAGCCGAGGAGCAGAAGGAGAGGAGCAAAGCTGGAGGGGAGACAGGGGCAGAGGAGAAGCCCAGGCACCAGAGAAGGCAGGAACAGCACAGGACACACAGCGGGAGTACACATCGGGGCTCTGACGACGTACCAGCAGGAGGGCGACTGCATCCCTGAATGAACGCGAGGAAGGAGAAGAGCGCAGCAGCTCCAGCCACAGCACGATGCACCTAACGAGGGGCTGTCAGGCCGCAGCGAGGGCGACCCCGCTGGCGGCACGCCAACAAGCGGCTGCAGGTAGAGACATCTGGAGGCCAGCCTGCAGAACCTGGAGGCCCAGCGCAGACCAAAGAGACCCGCGCGGACCTCGAAGTTTAGTTCCTCCTCCTCCTCCTCCTCCTCCTCCTCCTCCTCCTCCGCCTCCTCCGCCTCCTCCTCCTCCTCCTCCTTTCGAAGGCGCCGGAGGCTCAACACATCGCCGGCGCACAGCCGAGGCGAGGGCCGAGGCGAGCAGAGAAGCGGCAGCGAGCAGCCACAGGAAAGGCCCGCAGGGGGGGGGCCCAAATCCACAGCCCAGGCAGAAAAAGCAGGGCGGAGAGGAACCCGCGGGAAGGCGAGGCCTAAAATTGTCCTGGCGAAGGGCCCAACCATATGCAGCTGTGAGTACCGCGCTGTGGCCATCGCTCTCGGTGGAGCCCCCTTACGGGGCCACGAAACGTGTGAGGGGTGTGCCGACATGGGTGGGGAACCGTGTGCGAACTGCGCCACGGAGGTACTCGGTGGAGCTCCCCATGGGGCCACGAAACATAAGAGGGGTGTGCCGGCATAGATGGGGAACTGTATGCAAACTGCGCAACGGAGGCACTCGGTGGAGCTCCCTGTGGGGCCACGAAGCATATGAGGGTTGTGCCGAAATCCCACCAGCCCTTTGGGCTACAGGTGGTCTAAGGGTGATTTCTTTTTTCTTCCACAAGCACCTTTTCCCTTCGGGGAGGGGAACCCTCCCCCTCCCCTCCATGGGGTTTTTTGGGAGTGGTCGCGAGGTGTCATAGGCTCTTTTTTCGGCCAGTGGGAGGGCCATTTTTTGACACCCCGAGGGAGGGACGCAAATCGAGTGCCCCCCCTCATTTGACCGACCGACTCCAAGACGGCCCCAAGAGGCCCTCCAGGGCTCCCAAGAGGCCCCCAAGAGGGTCCCACGAGAGCCCCAAGAGGCTCCAAGAGGGCTTCAAGAGGCCCCCCAGAGGCCCCCACGAGGCCCCCGAGCGGCCTCAGAGAGACCAAGATGACCCCAAGCTGGCTCAAGTTGGCTCCCGAGATGCTCCAACGGGCCCCAAGACCGCTCCAAGACGGCTCGAGATGACCACGGAGCCTCCCCAGAAGGACCAGCATTCCCTCGCTGTTTGACTGTACGCGTCTCGTCGGCTGGCCGGCTCCCTCGCTGCTTGACTATCGTGTCTCTTTTTTTGTTTGACTATCGTGTCTCTTCCTCTCCCCCCCCGTCAGCTCTCACGGGCATCGTTCCTGGATGGGTTGGTGGGGAAACTTTTTGGTTCGCAGGCGCGCGAAGCGGGTCGGACGCCGGGCGGGCACGGGCAGGCTGTGCCATCTGCGAAAAGAAGGGTTGGCGGGGATACGCGAAGAGCATTGCGGAGCCGCATGCAAACTGCGCAACGAAGGCAATCGGTGGAGCTCCCAATTGGGCCACGGAGCGTCTGAGGAATGTGCCGACATGGCAGGGGAACCGCATGCGAACTGCGCCGCGGAGGCACTCGGTGGAGCCCCCCTTTTCTGGGGCCACGAAGCGTGTCAGGGGTGTGCCGAAGCGGGCCTGATGCCCACATGCGAACTGCGCCACGGAGACCTTCGATGGAACCCCCGCATGGGGCCACGAAACGTGTGAGGGGTGTGCCGAAACGGGAGCGTCGCCAACATGCGAATTGCGCCAGAGACGCACTCGGTGGAGCTCCGTCTGAAGCCACGACACGTGCGAAGGGTGTGCCGAAACGGGCGTGACGCCCACATGCAAAGTGCACCACGGAGGTCTTAAGTGGAGCTCCCCATGGGACCACGAAACGTGTCAGGGGTGTGCCGAAACGGGCGTGACGCCCGGATGCGAACTGCGCCACGGAGGCCCTAGATGGATCCCCCATACTGGGCCACGAAACGTGCGGAGTGCCAGCGACCAGAATGAAGATGATGGTGATGATGACGGTGGTGATGATGCCGATGCTGGTGATGGAGACCGCTATGATGCTGATGATGATGATGATGCTGATGATGATGCTGATGATGATGAATGTGATGATGATGATGATGATGATGATGATGCTGATGCTGATGCTGATGCTGATGCTGATGCTGATGCTGATGCTGATGCTGATGATGATCATGATGATGATGCTGTTGACAACGACGACGACGCCGACGACGACAACGACGACGACGACCACGACGACCACGACGACGACGATGCTCACGACCACGACGACGACGATGATGAGGAGGAGGAGGAGGAGGGAGGGGGCAGCGGGAGGGGTGACGAGGGGCGCTGTCTCGTTAAAACGAGGACCCAACACCA